AATGTGGAGAATTCCTTCTTGTAGACCTACTTGTCCAATGCCTACTCCACCACTCCAGCTCTGGACTCCACTGCTCATCTACACCCGGTCCCTTTAGTCACATCACATGGACTGATGGTCATTCCAGCCTTCAGTGCCCATGAACTTTGTGTCATTTTCTCACCTTATCCTCACACACTCTATTGATACCTTCATCAAGGTCAACACTTCTCCCTCCCTTCCGTCACCATATGGCCTGTCACTGCCATCTGTCTCTTCCCTGCTCTTTTCCTTGAAGGAATTTTCCAAACAGTAGCTTAATTCTTCTAGAGCAATCCCTACCTTATTATTCTAGGAAGGAAAGAAGGTGGAATATTCGCATCATTCCTCTAGTGTCTTCAGGCCACCTCTTGCTCTCTTCAATGTGAATGGGAGTTATTATGTATTCAATAAAGTTTCTCTAATGAAGGCAGTATCTTTTGGAATAAGTAACACAAAGACTGTCATGGCTGTCTTTCTCTTTTTCACTCCTTATTTGCTGATACTGAAATATGAGTGTTGCAAATATTTTGCCCCTCGTAGGTCACAGACTTCATGAGGGCCGACAACACACACTTTGCTTAATAATTGTGTCTCAGGAGCACAAGATTAATGCAGAGTTGAGCAGAGTTGAAGCATAGTAAGTGATAACTTAAAAATGTGCAAAGGGGCTGGAGAGATAGGTCAGTATCTGTAACTCCAGCTCCAGGAGATCTGACGCCGTCTCTGGGCCTCCATGGGCATTACATGTACATGATGAGCAGGCAAAACACCCATACACATGAAATAATAAAATAAAAAAAATTAATTAAAAAGAACCAATAAGAGAGAGTTAAAAGGAGGCTATAGATTCCTCAGAAAATCCTTGGGTTCTTCCAGTGATTTTAAATAATAAGGCTTTTGTCTTAATTCATGCTTTTCTGGTTACAACAAAATACCTGTGGACCATGTAAATTATAAAGAATACAAATTAACTTCACTCATGTTTTCAGAGATTGGGATCCAAGATCACAGGGCCAGCATCTGGTGAGGGCTTTCTGCTGCACCATAACACGGCAGAGGTTATCAGATGGAGAGATGGAGCCAGTGTGTTAGTTAACCTGGGCCTTTGTCTCCTTATAAAACCATGAAGGGCATGATGAGCACCCTACTATCATGACCGCATTTGACCTAGTCATCCCCCCTAACTCTTCCCCCATTTCATTAACATTAATTTGGGGGCACATTCTAAGAGTATGTGTCAGTCAGCTTTCTATGACTGTATCAAACTACAGTCAGATGCTACACTTTAAAAGAGGTTAGGGGGTTCAGTCCACAATCAGGTAGCCCCTGTGCCTTTGGGCCTGTGGCAGCAAACCGTGGCAGGAGTGCATGGTGGGGAAGCCCATTCAATTGATAGCCTGGACTGAAAAGGAAAGAGAATATGGGTTCCCACTCTTTTCCTTGAGAGTGCCCTTTCATAATTGCCAGACGCTCACTCGGCCCCACCACCTAAAGGTTCTACCTCCTCTTGACAACATTGCTCTGAAGATCAAGCCATCAGCACACAGGCCTTGGTGACACTGACAATCTGAACCACCAGTGACAGTCCTCTTGGAATTACTCATCCTGGAACTGCAGTGAGTCAGAAGCCAGGGACAAAATATTGAGTAGCATTTCTGTCTTCTGACCTCTAGGTTGACAAGATGTGGCAGAAGCAACTGTCTCTTGGTCCCAGTGCCTGGGCCTGATGGAACCTTTAGTTAAGACTTTCGCCCTCTGGAGATGCCGCCCTCATATAGCTGTCACCATGACAACATACCTGATGTAAACAATGTCAAAGAGGGTGGGGTTTATTTGGGCTCACAGTTTCATGGGTAGATGTTGGAGCTGTTTATTCTGGGTCTATGGTGAGGGATAACGTGGTGACAGGAGCATGTGAAGTAGGAGAATGTTAACTTCTTGGTTCAGGAAGCAGAGAAGGAGCATGTCAAGACATAGCTCCCTGGTGACCCATTTTTCTCTAGCTGGTCCCCATCTCTTCAGGTTTCCAAACCCTTCTGCAGTAATGTCACCATCCATGGACTGATTCTCAATACATGAGGTTTTGTGGGGGATATTTCTTCACAAACCATATATACATATATATGTATGTGTGTAGGTATATGCACATGTATATGTATAAAACCAAACCATACACAAGGCTAGATAGTCAAACAGAGATGGTATCTCAATTGTGTGTGGTTAAGGCTAGATAATCAAATGCAGAGGGCATCTCATATGTAGGTAGTAAGGCTACATAATCAAATGCAGAGGTGCCCCACATGTAGGGGGTACTACAGACTAAAAAAGAAATAGGAACAGGCAGATAAGAGGCTTGTCTTAGTTACTATTTTATTGCTGTAAAGAGACACCACGATCAAGGAAACTTATAGAAGGAAGCATTTAATGTGGGGCTTGCTTACAGTTTCAGAGGGTTAGTCTGTGGTGATATTGTGTTCCCCCAAATATTGTGCACCCTATTAAACTTATCTGGGGTCAGAGAACAGAACAGCCACTAGATATAGAGACCAGAAAATGGTGGCAAACATGCCTTATCCTAGCATTCCAGAGGCAGAGATCCATCCGGCTCTCTGTGAGTTTAAAGTCACACTGGAAACAGTCAGGCATGGTGACTCATGCCTTTAATCCCAGGGAGTGATGGCAGAAAGCAGAAAGGTATATAAGGCATGAGGACCAGGAACTAGAGCTGGTTAAGCTTTTAGGCTTTTGAGCAGCAGTTCAGCTGAGACCCATTTGGATGAGGACTCAGAGGCATCCAGTCTGAGGAAACAGGATCAGCTGAGGAATTAGCAAGGTGAGGTAGCTGTGGCTTGTTCTGCTTCTCTGATCTTTCAGCCTACACCCCAATACCTGGCTCCAGGTTTGTTTTTATTAATAAGACCTTTTAAGATCTGTGCTACATTAGTCCATGACCATCATGGTGGGGAGCATGACACCAGGCAGGCAGGTATGGCCCTGAAGAAATAGTTGAGAGCTACATCTTGATCTGAAGAGAGAGAGGGAGGGAGGGAGAGAGAGAGAATCTAGGCCTGACCTGGGCTTTTGAAACCTCAATGCCCACCCCCATTAACACACTTCCTTCAGCAAGGCCACACCTCCTTCAACAAAGCCACATCTCCTGATCCTTCCCAAATACTTTCACTGAGGACTAAGCATTCAAACATGAACCCATGAGGGCCATTCTCATGAAATCACAAGGCCCTAGGCCAGTTTAGCATTGCTGTTAGAAAAAAATTTTCAATAGGTGCTGGTTGATAGGTAGATAGAACAGTGAAGCTATTCAGAGAAGCTCTTCTGATTATTATTATTATTAAAGAGGAAGTAGGAGTTGGTAGTCAAGCACAGGGAGTATGTTAGAGTTTGAGGAGAAAAGTGTGAATGTTCCCACGTGAGTGCAGTAAGTCATTTGACTGGGGGGAGTGTAGCATCTTTGCTCAGTGGCTCTCCAAGGTCTGCTCAGGTTTACAATCATTGGCGTGAGCAATGCTAGCCTGCTGGTTTGTTCCCTCCGGCCATGTGCACTTTTGTAAGAGCAGATCTACAAGAGGTGGGAAACTTTTTTTTCAGGGTGGGAAGAAAGATGGAGGGAAGAGTCTGAGAGCATGTGTGAAAAAGTGACTACATGAAGGAGCGTGGAATTTAGGCTACGGAAAGATGGAAAGAGTGAGAAAGGGCAGAAGATAGGGAAATAGGAAGACTCTGTCGAAGACCAGGAGATATCAACACTAGGAGGTAAGGGAAAAGATGCCAGGAGGTAGGAAAGTGGGTTGCTAAAATTGACACCATAAAGGACATACAGTTATTGAGGTCACAGACACTATCGTGGAAATGGCTGTGTGCTCATTAACTTTCTGTTATTGTTACAAACACCCCAGATCATTCATTTATGTGGAAGAATTATGTTTTCTTCACAGTTTCAGTCCGTGATGGCTTTGCCCCTTGCTTTTTGGCTTATGAAGCAAGACAGTACAACCTGGTTGGAGCAAAGCGGCCCATCCCATGGTGGCCAGGGAGAAGATGGAAGAGGGGTTGGGCTCCTTATATACCCTTCAAGGATATAAAAGGCCTGCCGTGGCTTATTTTACTTCCACCATGCCTCCCCTTCTAAAGGTTTTACTAGGTCTACTAGTCCTAGAGGTTGGGGAGCAAACCTTCAATGAGTGTCCCTTCAGAAGACACTTATTCCAACTGTCCCAGTGGCTGAGCTGAATGTAAGAAAAGATCACCACAGATGAAAAACTGAGAGGCTGCATAGGTATTGCGGGAACCAACGATGTGATTCCCAAACTACCATTGATGAGCAGCTGAACTAGTCATCACCTCTACCAGGTCATTGCAAGGGCTCCTCACCATCGGTTTGGAATCTAAGAAGTATTATTTGACAGTAACCAAGGGTTACAATCTGCTTTCATTATTGACTGATCCGTGACTAGAACTAGTGTTCAAAAGCTGTAACAGGTGGCATACTTAATCCACTAAGAAGTGGATGTAGGAGGGAACATAGTGAGACCCTGTCTTATAAAACAAAACAAAAAAAAGAAAATCATAAAAGATGAATGATGAGCAAATACTGTCCTAGATGTAGCAGAGAGAAACTAATAAATTGCCAAATAGGCAAAAGGCATCTACAGCATTTCACAGCGTAAAGAAGCCGGCCTCCGCGAGGGTGTAGAGTGCTTTTTTTTGTTTGCTTGTTTTTCAGGACCAGTCGAGACCAGTACTCGACATACATTAGTTGCTCCTTAAATATTTGTCGAGTACAGCAACAGACGCTCTAATGAACGCACTCTTTTTAAATACCCGAACTACACCCGAGTTAAAGCTCCGTCAGGGCCAGTTTTGCAACACTGCGCTTGCGCGTTGTCCTCCTCCACCCCGCCAGCTTCGCCATAGGAAATTTGAGCTCTTCGCTTCCCGTAGGCGCCCTTCCCGGCTTCCTCCGCGGCGTTCCCACGCCGACGCTCTCCGGGGTTTGCGGGCTTCGGGCGGCTTCGCTCTTGGCGTCAGCAAGCGAGGAAGGCAATGGCAGCCCAGAAGATAAACGAGGGCCTGGAGCATCTGGCGAAGGCGGAGAAGTAGTACGTGGAGTCACTGCTGGGCTAGGGACCCGCGCCCCTTGGCCGTGCGCGCGGGCGGAGCGGGAGGGAGGGCCGTGATGCTGCCCGCGCCCGGGGCGGCGCCGTCCCTTGTGGGTCAGTCCCCTGCAGTCGGCGGTGCGGGCCTGCTTGCGTCTGGGCCTCTGCAGCAGGTGCCCGCGTCACAGCCACGTCTGCCCGGCGCCGGGTCCCCAGGGTTTGCGGCCGCTCTGCTCGTAGAGTAGTTGCGGGCTGAGGAGTGGGCTCCTTGTTTCCTCTTCATGACAGCCAGAAGTGACCCCATAGGTGAAGTCGGCCGGTGGAGAGCCACTGCTGGGAAAGAGACCCTGGTGCCCTGCGGGGGTGTAGACTTATTCTGGAAACTCTCACCTTTAGACGTCCTATTCCCTGGGGGACAAGGTCTCTGCTACCTTAGTCCTGTGGGTGTGCCACCATCTGGTTCCGGGCGCAGAAGGCACCCGGCAGTACTGGAAACTGCGAATTCTCTTTCATCCTTTGACACCGACATGACCCTCTCCCCCACTTCCATGAATTACAACATACATATTTAATGATTACCGACTATAAGAAATTTCTTAGTACACTGTTAGGTGCATCATAAACTAAGATCTTAACTTTCCAAATTGAAGTCCCCCACTTTACAAAAGAGGAACCGAGGCTGCCAGAAACTTCCTGGAGTCCTGTCCAAGACTGCTCGGCTAAACAGAACAGGGCCAGTTTTTACTCAGTGGAAATCCACAAGCTCTTGTATACCGCATTGCCTCCAGACAGTGTGGCTAGGAAGGCGGCTATCGGTTCAGAGGGTGATCTCAAGAATCCGTTTTGCTGGTGGGAACAAACACAAAAGAACAGAACATGTGCTCTCAGCCATAATAAAGTTGCGTTATATGAACTTCAGGGAGCTTCTAATTAAGCTTCGAAGATTGACTGCCCAAGTTACAGGACCAGTAGGAGCCAGGATTGGCATCCTTTCTGTAATAGCTTTACCTAGTCCTCCATGGCAGCCATGTATGGAGCTGAGAGTTTGGCTCCTAGGTGTCCCTGCTGGGAGAAGAATGGTGGGAGAGGCCTTCAGTCAAGCTGGGGTCATAGATGACAGGGCATGCTTGTGGCTGCGGTGGGGATGTATTGGATTCAGGTCTGAAGGATGTTTGAGGTTGCTCTGGGTAGAAAAGCCAGTGGGTGGCAGGAAAAATGGGGCAGGAGTGTAGGAGAGGCAGTCGGATTCTAATTTATTTTCTGATGGCAATATCTCTCATTATCACTTTCTTTGTCTTAGGACACTTTTCTTACTGACTCTTAGGACAAAAACAGTCACAGGTTTGTAACAGGTTAGACATCAAGCTGACCTTAGCAGGGCCTTCCTTGCTCCTAACTGGTGGTGCTCTGCTGCAGGGGGTTGATGCTGCAGTTTTTAAAAGTCTCTCCAGCACACTGAATGACGATGTCTTGTTTTGGGTGGGACTTCTGTAAGCACATTAATGTAGGGTGTAATGGGTGCTTTCGTGAAGGGGCAGAGAGTTGGAATTCTGCTCTGCTGCTCATTTCCTCAGTTTTATAGAGTTAGGCATTACATGTAACTGAAGGCTTTTATTTTTCTGGGAGAAGAAATCCTTCACAAACTTGAACATCTGTGTACACAGTTAAGTCTTATTACAGTGTGTATGTGTATGTTAAATGTTAAGTATACTAAATAAATATTTCAGAGAAAAGACATCAGAGTTAGACTCTGGGTAGTTGGTACATGGGTCCCAGGTACTTCTGTGTACCTGTGAAGGGTGTACTTCTAAGGGCCGTGTCTCTCAGTAGCCCCTGCATTCATATGAAGCAGTGTTATATGTAAGCAGGCTTTCACTAATTGAGCCGAAATTTAGAGTGTAAGATAGTGTTCAGCAATTCTTACGCACACCTAAGTTTAATACCCACTGGATTAGCTTAAACTGTGAGTTTGAAATTATTTTTAAAATAAAAACAAAATGCCGGTAAAAAAGGCAGGAAAGGTAAATAAACACTGAACACTGGCTACCCTTTGCTTTGCCTCCTGGGCCTGCATCGTCAGTCCTGGAAAACCACTTCTCTGTTGTCCTAATACTCTCCCCGTTCCCCCTCCTGTTGTGTTTGTTATGTGGCGGCTGACTCTCAGCCTTAGGTTCGCTCCCTTGTGTTCCCTCTGAATGTTGTTCCATAGTCTCTGCAGACTCCTTGAGGGACGTTTTCTCTGATCTTGGTATAACAGATGCTTCTGGTTCTTTAGCTGTACTTTCCCTGGTAGCCTCTCAGCTGCAAAGGACAGCGTACTTCAGGTTCTCAAGCCTGTTAAAGCACACATTGTGGTACCCACCCAGACAGTTTCTGACTGTGTAGATCTGGGATGGGCAGTGTGGACGCTGCTGGTCTGGGGACCATGCTTGTTCTGTTCGGATGGTATGTAGGCATTTCAGGAGGAGGAAAACTGCATTTGTGATGGGGCGGGGACAAAGGAAGAGGTGAGGGTGCATTTGTTGTGAATAAGTCTAGACAGAGTTGAGAAGGCGGGGACCTGTGCCTGATGGTAGGTACCTTTTTAAATAAGAAATGTCTCTCTTTCATTCTAGCCTGAAAACTGGTTTTTTAAAATGGAAGCCTGACTATGACAGTGCTGCTTCTGAATATGGAAAAGCAGGTATTTGTGACTGGAGTCCTGATGCTGTTGTGTGTATTGTTAACATAACCTGATAACTTTGTCTTAGTGTAATAATTTCAGTGCTTCATGTCAGACTTTACTAGTTAAAACAGAAAAGCAAAGCGGGACAACTGCACAGGCCTTTGCATATGTGGTGAGTGCTGAGTCAGATCCTGGTTCATGTTCTTGACAGCAGACATGGGTAGTGTGAGCAGTCCAGCTGTTAGCATTGCTTCTGTGGGCACAGCTCCATTCATGGGTATCCATATATGTTGCTTAGTCCCATCTTAGACTTCCTGCTGATGAATAAAGGGTTTTCTTTAATTTAGTTTTTTAAACTAGTCTCGTTGGAGGAGACCTGCAAATCTTATGTTTTCCCACATTAGTGTTATGAGCTTCATTTTGAGAAACACATGTTCATGAAGGGTTAAGCTGTATGCTCATTTCAGTAAATTCACCTGTATGTAAGTATAAATTATCTAAAATATGCAAAAAAGGGAATTCGGTGCAAGTTTAGTGTTGATTAAAGGATGATATGAAAGCTCTGAATGTCTGCTATCATTTTGGTATCAAGTAATAAAACCTAATTTTGAAGCTGGTGAGATGACTCAAAGTGAAGATGCTTCCTGCCAAGCCTGACGACCTGAGTTTGGATCATTATGGCAGACGGAGGGCTCTGACTCCCACACGCTGTCCCTGACCTCCCTCTGCATGCCTAATACAAATTTGAAATCACCACAGATTTGCAGTTCCTCGAGCATATTTTTGTCTGTGACTATGTTAGTGAACCTGACGTTGAAAAGACCATTATTACGTAGAGGGTTTATTTTCTATTCAAAAGGAAAACAGCAGTCTTTAGCCCTGTGTTTAAGTATTGTGTAAGCTTTGTTTCTTGCATTATGCAAATATTTTGTATTTTATATTTAAAAATAAATTTGTTTAAAACTGAGCTTTATATGGATTTTGGGGGACATTTTATAGTCTTTCTTTAAACCAGAGATACATTTCTCAAGTTCTCTCTATGAAGGAAATTTAGCAGCTTTGCTTTATGTCTCCGGGACCATGTACTGCTTCCAGAAGTAAATATTCTGAATCAGGTTTCCTGTTAAAGGACCCTTTGTTTGCTTTCCGTAAGAATGTATGCAGAATATAGCCATGTGGTGGAATTTTTAAAAAGCAAAATAGGGACAAGCAGGAATAGGAGTAGTTGCAGTATTTTGTTTGTTTTCAACACTTGGTTAAAGAGTTCTCTGAGAGTGTGATTTTAAGAAATAATAGTTGAGGACACTATCTACAAGGGAGACTGAGGCAGGAGGATCTGTTCAAGTCGGAGGTCAGTCTAGGCTGTGAGGTTGTTTCCAGCCGGTGGGGGGAACATGTATGGAGACCCTGTCTCGGAATGACAAAACAGACCAAAGACACCACTTTTCTTAAGTCAGTATGCTTTTTACTTTTTCATGATCCACCCTCAGTGAGTTTTCCAAAGACTGTAACGTTGTCTTTCAGGGCCATCTGACTGTCTCACCCTCGTAAGCCCCCCTGTAAAGCAGCTGTAGTGTAGGTCAGCTCTTCCAGCAGTGTAGATAACTACAGAGATAATCTTTGTGTCGAGTGAGCTTTGGTTGTCAGTCATGTAGTGAGCTGGGGGAGAAGCTGGGAGTGAGGCCCTCTCTCTGGTGGAGCATCTGGGAGTGTGCTAGAAGGAGCTCTTGGTAGTCAGTGGAAGCCTCACTAATGTGTTGCTAAAAATCAACAATTAAAACCATAACAGGCTTCTAAAAGTGTACTCAGAAAGATTGTAGCTTGCTTTAGATAAAAGTAATATTTCACCCTTTTATGAAACTCCCTACTTGAAATCAGTGTATTTTGTAATATTTCACATACAACCCAGATTTGGATAATGATTCATTTGAGGGCTGTTAATGATAGAAATAGATATCTTACTTTTTTTTTTCCTTTTTCTTTTCCTGTTTCAGCTGTTGCTTTTAAAAACGCCAAACAATTTGAGCAAGCAAAAGATGCCTGCCTACGGGAAGCTGTTGCCCATGAAAATAACAGGGCGTATCTTTTTTAGCTTAAAAAAAATGGAATAACTAGATTTTTGAAACACCTTTTTCCTTTAGCGTTTGAAGTAAAATGCTTTTCAGTTAGAAAAGGATGAACAGTGTGTGTGCTTTAAAGTCCATGAGAATACTCCGTGAGTGCATGTTGGTGCAAGCAGCCATGCTTGCCTGTTATTTCCTCCCGCTCCTGGCTTTGTTGACAGGGATTTGACTTGAGATGAAGGGAGGGAGATTCCTAAGCATGTGCTGAAAAAGAAAACATAGCTATTGAAAATGCATAGACTGCTTTGGAAAAAAAAATTAAATAGTCTTCCCTAGGTATTTGAAGATTTATAAGCATTCTAGAACAAAATGTTCTTGGTGTATCTTAAAGGCTATCATGTATAAATGTCCATTTTATCTCACATGCAAAACATAGTCTTAATATTCTTGCACTTCACCCTGTTGATATATAGTAGTTTAAAGTCCTTTGCAGGGTTTTGTGAGTGTTTCGGTTGTAAGAATCAGCAGCAGCGATGGGGAATCACTGCTTCTCTCATAGGATTTGTCTTTTGAAACCAGATGGACTAGTGACTTAGTTAACTGTCTTTGGAAAGTAGATCTCTGGGGACCGTTGATTTCTTCTTTTTTCCTTAATTTTGACATCGTTATATCCATTCAGTCTTTTTCATGCTGCCAAGTAAGTAATTTTTCATCTTTTTTATGTGTTTGTAGATGTTTAAAAAGTTGATGTTTTGCTCTAGCCTGAGAACTTTTTCTTAAGCTGTGTTTTTAAATACTTATATTAATTTAATTAAAATAATTATTTTCATTTGTTTTAGTCATTAGCCGAACTTTAAAGCCCAAGTGTCTCCTAATTATAAGAAAGGTTTTTAAATTAAATACTGCATAATATTTTGCTTATGAAAATACAAGTGACTTGAAATTCTTCCTTTATTTATTGGTTGCTAAGTGCCTGTGGAAGAGATGTGAGCTTTCTCCTTTTGTGGAGCATATGTATTTGTTTTAAAACTTAGAATTAGGGTTGTCTTTTAGCCTTTCTGAGACTGACTTAATCTTGCTGAATAAAATCAACTCAATGTTTGATGCTCCTAAGATGTCATTGCTCTAAAAAGTAAACGAATAAAAGAAAAAGCATGAAACTCCAGTGTGGCAGTGCGGGCCGGGACTGACATGCTGTGTGAGCTCCTTGTTGGTCAGTTTCTGACCACCACCATCACAGGTTTCTCCCTCTTCATTAAGGTCTCATCAGAGAAATTGTATTCTCTTTGCAGAGCTTATGAGCAAGCTGGGATGATGTTGAAGGTTAGTATTACTGGATCCAAACAGCTGTGAAGGTAAAGTGAATTAGCAAGCTATCAAGGTAGAGTGAATGATGAAGTTGACAAGTTTCTTCACTGTAAAGCAGGAGGGGTGAGGGTTGTGGGAGTGGAAGCAAAGGCTATGTTAAGATGTCTTGCCCAGGGTAGCTCTAATTGGACCTGTAGTGAGCATCCTGTGGCAGTTAGGATAGAGTATTGAAAGTACCAGGTGAAAGGAAATGTATTGGAGGGAACAGGGAAGAGCAAGGCTCTAGGCACCGCAACACCGTGGCGGGTGCTGATGAAGAGGTTTCCCTGCATCTGAGTGCTCGAGGGTGTCTGGATGGAGTAAAGTTATACAAGGATGTTTGTCTGTTTCATTAAATTACTTGTAGGCTATGGAAAGGAAAATTAGCTTTATAATTTTTTTGGTTTTTATAAATGTCAGGCTGGAATCAAGAACGGTCCAAACTAGCTATTGCCGGTTTATCTTATTCCTTTTGAATGGAATAATGGAATATTTTGACCAATATGCCACATTTATGCTTCTTAGTGGCAGGTTAGGGGTTACTATCCTGTTGCAGTTGTAGTGAGATGGTGTGTTTGTGTGTGTGTGTGTGTGTGTGTGTGTGTGTACAAGCCAGAGCTCAACCTTGGGTGTCTTCAGCCACCCACCTTGTTTTTTGAGCAGGGTCTCTGGCCTGGTGCTTGCTGATTAGGCTAGACTGACTGACCAGTAATTCCTGTCCTGCACCTGTCTCAACCTCCCCAGAGCTGAGATTACAAGCACATCTCATATGTTGGGCTTTTTGTTCTTGATTTTTAGACCTAGATCTTAGATGGTACCTACTCTGTACTGCTGTATGTGTCTAAAAATAATGTGTTTGGGTAAAATAGTTGAATTTCCAATTGTTAAAACTCCACTTGTTAAGTTGAGACATTTTCTGCCCCATGCTGCATGCTTTTCCTGAAGGAGATGCAGAAGCTGCCTGAGGCCGTCCAGCTGATCGAGAAAGCCAGCATGATGTACCTGGAGAATGGCACCCCTGATACAGCAGCTATGGCCTTGGAGCGAGCTGGAAAGTGGGTGCACACAGCTGCTGTGGGATGTCCTGGCTTTGCAGAGGACTCCTTTGTCTTGATAAAGTCCTTTAAGAGACAAGTTTCTTAATTCTCACAAGTTATATTCTCTGTCTAATTCAGGCTCATAGAAAATATAGATCCAGAGAAGGCTGTACAGTTGTATCAGCAGACAGCCAGTGTGTTCGAGGTAAGTTAGAATTATATTTGTTTCTCTAATTACTCATAATATTTTCATTCATAATATGTAGGAAAAGAAAGATGCAGTGGATGCTTTTTAAGGCTTTTCTATGTCCACAGCCCAACTCTATTCCTTTTTTCTTCTAGAGGTTAGTGAATGGGCTAGCAGCTTTGGTGCTACCATCCATGGCCATTGCTTTATGCAGTTATTATTGAAGGGTAAGAAGAGTTCCACATTAACTCTGCCGACACTCCCTTTTCTTTGATTCCTCCAGAATGAGGAACGCCTCCGGCAGGCAGTTGAACTACTAGGGAAGGCCTCCAGACTGCTAGTGCGAGGACGAAGGTATGGCTTTCTAAACTGTATGCTGTGCATCATGTGTTTTGAGTCTACTTTTGGGACTTGTACATAACCTTGGATATAGCTTATTTGTCTACACCTGGACAGACAGTGAAAAATGATCATCTTCTAAAGAGTGGGCACATGGAATTAAAACCTGTTTTTCTATCATAATTCCAAAATGTATTGTGCTTTTGTTGCCTAACAGTAATTAGTGGAATGAAGGAAGAGTTCTCTAGATCGGCCAATGCACTACTTTAGTTTCTCTCTTGGAATAAGTGACCAAAGTATCCTAAATACCCATGAAATTCAACAGCTTTTGATACTTGAGTTATGTCATTCAATGGGATATTTAGTGTTTACCATTTTAGATACAGTTCTTTAAATTTTTTTTTTCAAATTTTGATCATTGTCCCCTCTACCAACTACTCCCAGAACCTCTCCATCTGCTTAACCACCCAACTTTATATTCTTTCTCTCATTCTTCTTTTCAAACCAAACCAAACCAATACAAAAACAAAAATAAAAATAAACAAGCCAAAGACCAATAAGACAAAAACACTCAAACAAAATTACTCCTGAGCACGGGGCCTGCTCTGGAGTGTAGTTGATATACCCAGTGACACTCCTGTGGTGACAACTGATTGTGCTTTTGCCGGTGGGTAGCTGTTCAAATAGCTCTTGGTCAGGGGTAAGACCCCATATCCACTTCCCTCTCTCAGTGCTGGGACCCTGTCTGGCTTGACCTTTGTAGGTCTGATGTGTGCTGCCACAGTTCTGTGAGTTTGTGTGTGCATCAGTCCTATTGTGTCTGGAAGTCAACTGTTTCCTTGGAGTCTTCCATTACCTCTGGCTCTTAACAGTCTTTCTTCCTCTTCTTCCGCATAAATCTGAGAGCCTTGGAGGGTTTGATGAAGACTGAGTGTTCCAAAGTCTCTCACGCTGCACTTTGTCCAGTTTGGGTCTTTGTGTTAAATCCCCATCTATTGCAAGAAGCTTCTCTGATATGGGTTGAGCTGATCTATAGTTATGACAATATGTCGCTAGGTGTCATTTTATTACTATGTTCCATTAGTAGGAGAATAGTATTAGGTTGTCCTCTAGGTCCATGACCTATCTAGTCTCTTGGCCACTTTAGCCATGTCAGATACGGGTGCCATATCATGGAATGGGCCTTAAATCCAATTAAAAAAGTAGTTGGTTACTCCCATAATATTGTGCTACTATTGTACCAGTATATCTTACAGGCAGGTCACTGTGTTAGGTTGCAGGATTTATACCGGAGTGATACTGACATTACCTTTTTCCTCTGGCACCATGAAGAGTACTTTCCAGGACCATGAACACCATCAGTAGGGTTGAAGCTTCTAATTAGGCACCAGTTTGACTCTCCACATTCAGTGACATGCTTTCTTCAGCAGTAGGGCCTTACTTACATAAGGTTGTGGAAAGCAGCAACCAGTAGCTCTGACAATAGCCTGTGATTTGGAGGGGTTTCCATGAGCCTTTGGCCAGTGACTCAGCAAGATGTCACCCAGTGCTGACACTGGGGGTTTTACTTGAGGCATTGTCTCCCCTACTTCATGGCAACTCCAAAGTAGTAGGTTCCGTGTGGTTTTTCCAACGGCCTTTAGTGTTAGTTGTCCCTTCCCATATGACTTCCTTTCCCCTTCTATCTCATTCCCTATTCCTCCCTGTTGAATCCTCTTATTCTAGTTTCCCTTCCACAGCACTGTATTCTGCTTTTCCTTCCTTGGGAGATCCTCTCCTCCCCCAGAGTCCCTTGCTAGGTACCGAATCAATCAGTCTGTTCCCAGGGCAATTAGGTTTTCCTTCGCGATGACTACATATTATAAAATATATTCAAACATGTTTAGAGATGGAGTATGACTCAATATAAGATTAGTTGTTCTTAGCCGGGCGGTGGTGGCGCACGCCTTTAATCCCAGCACTCGGGAGGCAGAGCCAGGCGGATCTCTGTGAGTTCGAGGCCAGCCTGGGCTACCAAGTGAGTTCCAGGAGAGGCGCAAAGCTACACAGAGAAACCCTGTCTCGAAAAACCAAAAAAAAAAAAAAAAGATTAGCTGTTCTTATTTAGGCACACTATTGTGTTTGTAAGATGTGAAGAGCTTCCAGTAGTGAGATTTCTACAGAAGTGAAATATCTGATTCCTGTACTTACAGAATGTTCTGCAATTTCATTTTCTACAGATCTGTGCTGAACTCATGTTCACAATTATGAGAGAGAGATGAGCACATGGGAGGCCTCCTTTCCTTACTTTTTCTGTTCGTATGGCAGACTACCACAGCCCCAGCTCTTTAAAGTAGTACTCACGTAATCTCACGGATTCTGTGGCCACAAGTCTCTACTGGGGTCTCAGCAGGCTGAAACCAAGGTGTGGGAGGGGCTGCGGGCTCCCTAGCTGTTGGCAGAGCTGAACTCCTTACAGCTGTGTGACACAGATCCCTGTTTATTTGCTGCCCGTCAGCCAAAGCACTATGAGCATTACAAGGTCCCTTAGTCCCTAGGCAGATACTCCTAGAAGTGGCTCCCAACAGGATACTTGCAGCTGATTCTGCCACACCCTTTAGGGTGTCTGATGAGCTCAGCACCTGCAGGTAGCCAGTCACCTGACTAGTAGCCAGTCACATTAGCCAGTCCTCCTGAGAGGAACCGATATGGGAAGTTCCTACAAGGGGCGAGAATCTCCAGTGTTTGTCTTGGAATTTTGCTGTCTTACCTGATGCATAAATGATCTTCTAAAAGCCTGTCAACTTTGTCTTTGGAAATTTTGAATAAAGCACCAGTGAGTTTTATTTACAAGGTACTAAGTTGCCAGGACATAGCCCACAGAAATTTACTAATACACATATGTAATAGAGGTAGAACTGTAAAGCACACTACTGTGTGTGGGGTGTGTGTGGGTGTGAAAGTATTTTTGAAGGTAATTAACATGCAGAGAAATGGGGTACACTGTGTAATATTCCTGTATTTTTAACGGGTCACAGTACCGCCCTTCCTCTGTGTCTAACCTTTGCCCTTTCCCACCATCGGCTTATATCAGCTCCCAGAGCTAAGCCCAGACAGTTGTTCCCAGGACCTCAAACTGTTCATGGGGATGAGAGATATGATATGGGCAAAGACTACACATTCATCCATCATGAGTTAGGTGTCAGCAGAGCAGTCTTGGATTCAGAGAATAATAAAATGGTGCAGGGAAGTGATGATCCGGTTAGGGTTTGATAGAAGGAAAATGATGGGGGACGGAGTGTTTGGGGGAAGTGTTTGGGCATCCCTTCCTTTTCACTCCACCATTGACTGGAACAGGAATGAGTGAGTGTAAGAGAGGATAGAAAGCATGGGTGTTGAGATCATTGCTGCAGAAAGGCTGGTTTAGCTTGCTAGGATCCCTGAGAAGCAGTGGAGAGGGTAAGGACACACAGCAGAGTAAGGGAGTGGTCAGGGCACCTTGACGTTCCTTCATGTGGACAGAAGGAAGTCTGGGTGATGCAGTCTAGATTGATTGTCTAGTGGGTTTTTCCGAGCTACTTATTGAGGTAGTTAGGAACGCATTAATGGGTGGTTTTTACCAAACGTAAAAACTTCTGTATGCTAACCCTTCACTTCCTTTGCGTTGCCTTGATGCTGCAGAGGGGAGTCAGGCTTTTGAGAGAGAAGTCTGATGAGCAGAGCCAATGGGAACTGCTGTGGAGCAACTGGCAAAACCCTGCCCTCCAAAGCCTGTGATAAGGGCAGTGTAGCAGAGGCCTCTGCGGAGGGTTCACACCTGCCCTGTTTGACGTTTCTTTCTGTTGTCTCTAGGTTCGATGAGGCTGCACTCTCTATTCAGAAAGAAAAAAATATTTATAAGGAAATTGAGAATTACCCAACTTGTTATAAGGTATTGAATTTGTCTGCTTTGGCTTTACTTTAATTTTACACATTGGTATGAATACTTAAGCTAACATTCTGTGGATATTTGTCTGTTTCTATAAAATAGTAATTTATGGTCTTGTGCTTCTGACCATGATAGAGAAAGCCCTCCTAGCCTACCTTTATACAGTAGCAATATCAACAAAATAAAGTATTTACCTCAAACCCTGGACAGCATATAAAAATGGATGGCCTGTAGAGGGCACTGAGTGCTTGGAGAAGCCACTACCTCCGGAGAGGGCATTCCTGGGAATTTCTGTTGTCTCTTGTCCATTGCCCTGAGAGATGCCCCTAGTCATGGCACTAGGCAGGAGAGTCTAACAAAACCTCTAAAGAGACCTCCTCCCTGAAACTGGAGGCACTAGGGAGAACCCCACCACCACCACCACCACACACAGCTTGGTTTAGGTTGAGCTCCGGTGGTCATGGGGCTGCAGCTGATGTGGCTCCAACAGATCCCTGGTCTCTGGCTGGAAGAATGGACAAGGAGAGCCAAGAGAGGAGGGACATATCCCAGAGAGCAGAGCGTGGGAGGAGGGAATTCGTGTGTGTGTGTGTGTGTGTGTGTGTGTGTGTGTGTGTGTGTGTGTCAGGCCCAGAGTAGAAGTGACTGCTATGCAAATTGAGATAGGACTGAAACCACTAAGTCTCATCCTGCCCATGAAGTTCTGGTACATGGGACAGACCCGGAGATCGCAAAACGGATTCACACAGGTCAGAACCACCACCCACCGGAAGGAGTCCATAGTCTGCAGCCTAAACCTGGGGTGGTGGAGTGTGGTTAAAACATCACACTCTTCCTGAGAACTACAGCACCAAATGCTGTGTGGCATTCCCAGAAATCTAGAGAATAGTCCCGAATTACCCATCAGACAAAAGCCAGGAACAAAGACAATTTATAGCAGTGCATGGTGTCCTAGATGTTAGAATTACCACTTCAAGTGAGAAGACCTCCAAGCAGTTACTGTAACTGTTGTATAACAAAGGGGAACACAGAAAATGAACGGAAAAGAACTCTTTAAGAGAGAAAAAATACTTTTACAGGAGCTGTAAAAGTGAGCCATTTGAAAAATTTGAGACATGGTACCTGAAATAAATTACTAGATGAGCTTAATGTTATAGTGAAGACAACGTAATAGTTATTTGTCAGAGCAACAAAATGCTTCGACAAAAGTCACTTCCGGAACAGAATCAACCTCCCTCCCTCCCTCTCTCTCTCCCTCTCTCTTTCACCTACAGGGGGCAGGCCTCCTTATCTCAGTTAGCCTTGTGGAGATAGTCTCTCACACATGACCAGTCTCTGGAAACTGCTGAGAAGCTTGTCTCCTGTGCGATTCTGAGTCCTCTTAGATTGACAATCAGTATTTACCTTCACAACTAAGACTCAGTGATACTGAAGATGGATCTGTGAAAGAATGTACAAGGGTGGTTGTATAGGCTGGGCATGGTAGTGTGTTCTATAATCCTAGACCTGCTAAGGCAGGAGGATTGAGTTTGAGGCCAGCCTGGACTGCATAGATAGGTCCTGTCTCAAGAGTCAAACACCACCTCCAAAAGAAGTTAAAACCACAAGGTCAAACGCTCTCTGAAGAGCTCTTCTCCCCATAAGATATTACGGGCTGTCCCGTCTTTGATCTTTTAAACGGTGCCATTGTTTATTATTTAGAGTTTTCTCTAGTATCTTTTCCTAGTATCTAAAAATTTCAGTTGTGGAGTTGTAGAGTTACAGGTCTTCTCTGTTTTATTCCTCTTTCAACATTAACTGAATATAGATATTTGAAAGACATTCTGTAAACTTGCACTGGCTGCATTCTTTGAGGTTAAAAGGTTGTCCTGGGGCCATTAGTGCCAGTGTCAGCTGGTTCTGCTTAGAGCAGACAGGCTCAGACCTGCTCCCCCTTCAGGCTCCCCAACCCATGTGCTCTGTGCACTATTTGATACTGACATAGTATTCCAGGCTCTTTCCTCCCAGGTGTCCTGTGGATGTTATCGTAGAGTCTTGTGTGTTTCTCATGTGTGAACTGGTGCTCTGAAAGTTAAGTTCTTGTTTTAAGTACTCCAAGAAGGTGACTATGAAAATAAGTATCAGTTTGCATCCTAGTCTTCCCTCTCGTTTCAGAAAACAATTGCTCAGGTCTTGGTTCATCTACACAGAAATGATTATGTGGCTGCGGAGAGGTGTGTCAGGGAGAGCTACAGGTAAGGTTTGGCTGTTTTCACGGGCCAGTGTTGACATTCCTTTTCTTGAATTTCTTGAACATCACTACTTAGACAAGTTTTGTTTTTATCCGTGAAAGGTTTCCAGATCTTCCAAGAGCTAAGACTTTCATTGCAGAGTTCTTTTGTTTTGTTGTGTCGCTTGTGTGTGCTGAGCAAACCCTTACTGCAGAGCTTGGCTCCAGCTCGGCCTCCACGTAGAGTCTATCACTCAGCTGTTAGAAGGCCCGTTTTACAAGCTGCTTTTTTGCTTCTGTTGTTCTCTGAATGATTTTAGTTACTTTATTGTCTTTGCCTTTTAAATGACAACAAGGACAAAAGGAGAATGGCTGTATGATATGTTGCAAATCAGATTGAGGCATTTTCTAGATGAGTGAGTGTTGGTAACTTAATGCTGTGCGAGTGTCTTATGCACTATAGGGTTCCTAATGGCATCCTTGGTCACCACCTGCTGGTTGCCAATAGCACCCCAGCACCTGCAGCAATCAGAATGGCTGCAGATCCTGCCTGTGCTGGGGACAGTTATCCCTGGTGCAGGCATCTTAAGGAAGAGCTCAAGTGTGGTTTGTGCTTCCCGTAGCATACCAGGGTTTAATGGCAGTGAGGACTGCGCTGCACTTGAACAGCTCCTGGAAGGATATGACCAGCAAGACCAAGATCAAGTGTCTGAGGTCTGCAACTCACCCCTCTTCAAGTACATGGACAATGACGTAAGTGGGCCTTTGTTAACTTTCTTCCTCTGCAAGTGATTTTCCCCTGCAGACTTGTGAGTTTTCTACCTCTATGCCTGTATTTTTCACGTCAAACTGCTCATAAAGGAACCAGCCAATCCAGTTGAGCTTTACTGCATTTGGGTAATGTATGCACCCTATGCAGTCGTGACTACTTACTTGCTTCTTAGCTGTGCTGTCGTGTGTATATTATAAACTCAGCCTCATTTCCCACCTCCCTCTGCTGCCCTGGCTCTTGGTTTATCTAGTTGCTGTTAGGCTTCCTACCTGCAAGAGGCCTGGCATGTGGAGCTGTTGTAATTCTGCAAGCCTGTGGGCATCCCATGTCTGTGAGGGCCATGTGAGACAGGCCATTAACAATCATCTTCAAGCCTTACCTATAAAGTGGAAGACTTCAGTTTGTCTCCTAGACTGTTGTGAAGAATCCAATGCTCTTCCTGTGAGAAATAGTCTCCCACTTGAGTGAGCCACAGCTGTGAACCACTCTTGCTCAGTCCTCCTCCTGTATATTACCTGATCACTAATTTTAGAGTCCTGTCACACTGTCACATTAATTTAAGATCTTGAATTTTCTTGTAGTGGTAGAGGTAGAGAAATAATATTTTTTTTATTCTAGGTAAATTCTTTCACATACTTTTTTCTTTTTGAGACAAGGTCTCACGGCTATATAGTAATACTACCTAGCCTTGAATTTACAGCCTTCCTGCCTCAGCCTCCTAAGTGCTGGAAGTACAAGTGTGCATCATCCTACCAGGCTTCTTCTATGCTTTTGAAAACGTGTGTGTCATAATAATGTATGTATGGTATCTTCCCCAATACTGTCCACCTTGTTTTGAGACAGTCTGATCTGCAGCTCCTTGATTTGGTTAGCTGGCTGGACAGCAAGCTCGGGATCCTCCTGGCTCTGCCTCCCCAGTGCTAGGATTATAGACTTTTGTCACTGCATTTGTGTTTTGTGTGGATGCTGGGGATGGCCTGAGTCCCTTTGGTTATACAGCAGGCAACTTAGCCATCTCCCCACCTCCATGCCAGTATTTCAAGTGAGGATTCTGGGGTCAAACTCAGGTCTTCAGGCCTGACAAGCAAGACCTTCCCAGCTCCGAGTTTGTATTTTTTTTTTTTTAATTTGTCCCTAGTTTATACTCTCATTTACTCAGTAGGTTTTTTTCTTTATAACTACTAGAAGTATTATTGAGTGTGTCCATATTATCTCCAGCTCCCAAGTTAGGTACATAATTGATACATCTACAACTGCCAGCAGGTCGCATCGTGGTCTGATGCCAGGGCATTTCTCCCAAAATGCTAGTTCATGAGGGTGGATGATTAGGTTCTGGTCTTTAAAACTTGCGTTTATTACTCTGTGCTGCATGTATGAAGTGTGTATGGGCACAGGTGCCACAGCACACACGTGGAGGTCAGGACAGCTTTGTGAAGTTGCTTTTCCTTCTATCCTACGGGTTCTGGGGATTGAATTTAGGTTGTTAAGCTTGTGTGGCAAACACTTCTCCCCACTGAGCTGACCTCGTGCACACGCGCTTCCTCTCTCTAAAAGATTTATTTTTATTTTTGTGTGTATGAGTGTTTACCTGCATGTCTCACACCACATGTGTGCCTGGTGCCTGCAGAAGTCAGAAGAGTGTTGGCTCTCCCAGAACTGGAGTTAAAGATGGTTGTGAGTCACTGTGTGAGCTTGGGAACCGAACTCAGGTCCTCTGTGAGAGCAGCAAGTCCTTCTGACTACTTTGCCATCTCCACTCCCATACCCACCCTCACCCCTACTCCCATCCTTTTAATAGTTAACTGATGCTAAGACACTGTATCAGGATTCTCGTTTCCCCGCTTTAATAACATGTCTTACTGTTGACAGTATGCTAAGCTGGGCCTAAGCTTAGTGGTCCCAGGAGGGGGAATCAAGAAGAAGTCTCCAGCCACACCCCAGGCCAAGCCTGATGGAGCTGCCAGCACAGCGGCTGAGGAGGAAGAAGACGAGTATTCAGGAGGCCTATGCTAGTACCCAGTCTTCAGAGAGATGAGAAGATGGGAAATCCTGACAAGCCGTGTTCATGGGATTAAGACTCACCTGCGGGCATCTCTGCTTCACGGAGATTCTGATGTTGAGTGTTAATATATGTGAAGTTTAGTTTGCCACTTCACCAGCTCAGCCATTGGAGCTCCTACCTGAAAGCTTTGTTCTTTCCATTGTAAGAGTGAAACTGAGCAGAAAATACAGTCATATTTTAATAATTCATTTTCGAATGTATAGACAAATTCTAGAAATGTCATAAGCAAGGCAGGAAATAGGCATACATAACTCTTTTCTCTTGGATTCTTGTAATTTATTGTTAAATAATTTTCATTGCATTTTATTTAATGTTACTTCTAAATGTGACTTTTTTTTTTTTTCTGGTGAAAATAATTATTTCAAAACTGGTCTGGTTTTTCCCACCAGCTTTCCGTGTTGTCACATGGTACCCATGCATGTTCTGGCGAAGGTTCTCCAAAGCATCTGCAATGCCCAGAAGAGAGGCAGACAGCAGGTCCTCAGCAGTGGTACTGCAGAGTTGTCATCTGGTCTCTGACTGTGGTGATGGTGCATGGTTACACCTTACACATAATTACACCTCACACGGCTGATGAGATCATTGATGATCACAGAGCTGGGAACGTAGTTGTCACCCTCACAGGCGGGTTAACCGGGTGTGGAGTGTCAGCCCCAGATCAGATGTGCTCCTAAAGACCTAGAAATGGCACAGTTATCTTCCCATCCTGTCAGTTTGGGTGCCTTGTACCAACAGCCTCAGCTGGCATCGTGGACCATGAAGAAGCAGGACAAAAACATGGAGGGAAAAACCTGGGATTCTCTTTCTAGGGGTCTAAAACATAAGTATAAAAAAAAATGCTTCAGTGGAGAGAGGGCCTGTCTCAATTTGAAAAGGAAATTTAACCATCACCATATTAGATACATTTAAATTATTGAATCTTTTCAGAGACAAGCTTGGGACAAAAGCTTTAAAATATTTAACTCAATATGTGACTACAAAATGTAAAAGGTAACATTATCATCAGCCCTCCCCAAAGTATTGGTGTTTCTTTTTTTCTTAACAATAAAAACGGTGGCTGTGTTCAAGCATACTTCGCTCTTTACCAAAAATGGGACTAATTAAGACCATTTACATATGTCCAGAATGACAAGTAATGTTCTGTCAATCTAGTATGCATGCATTTCTTACATCCAAAATAATTTTGATTTGGAGTTCATAATTTAATGTGAGTTGTGCTATATACTACAAAAAGTCAGAAGCCAAAAGGGAAAAAAAATGCTTTTGAAAAACATACATTTAGGACTGGGTTACTAATCTTTTCATACCTCAAAGACTTTCCATGGTTATTTCCTAATAGTTTTGAAGCATTCCTCTTTTTGCCCTGTATGGTTTCGGCCCATCTCATAATTCGTGTGAACTGAAGAGATTGTAAACAGCAGCAGTGTGCACTAGGTAGCAGGGCTGACTGGAATAATTCCTGTCACCATGCTCCATCACTGTCTCTTTATAACATACCTTATTTGAATATAGTATGCTTAGTTTTGCTAGATTTCCAAAATCTAGGAAAAGCATTTTTATGCTGCTCGTCCTCATGGGAGATCTTAAACAGACTAGCATCTTCCAGGTGTGCGTGAGTGGGTGGGTGTCACTGTACAGGCCCTGCACAGATTACAGGTCTGATGCAAAACACTAGTCAAAAGTTTTATATTTTCCCCTAAGTTACCTGCATAGTTGTTTGGGTTACCAGCTCATTGTCTTTCATTGCGTTGAGATGATGAATAAAGCTGTTATTTTTATTTAAAGAGAAAATTGGTATTTCAAAGATGGCATCAATGTTGTATTTACCTTTAGATCTGACCAGAAACATTAGTGCTTATTGGAGCAAATTTGCACTTTTTAAAAATAGATTTGGCAGTACTCAAAAGTTACTTTAGACTATTGTATGGCACATGTTATTCAATAAAACCTTGAAGGAGGTTAGTTTTACTCATGTATACACCGTAAACAAAAAACAAAACAAAAATCATGGGTGCATTGTAGAGCATCATTGCAGCTCAGTTTTAAAACAACAGGGGTTTGCACAGTTGTACACCTCCTGCCCTTAATTAAGAACTTTGAGCTCATTTTTATGTCGGTTCCTCTGTGTGGAGTCTCAGAAGGAGCATTTGTTCCACATGTACACATTTTATTTTTCTACCTGCATTAAGTCTTTGTTCTTAGACATGGAAAACTTAGTGTTTACAACAAGAAGAATTGTTTTCCAGAACGCTAGCACCCTCCCTAGGAAAGTGGAAGTCTGCATGAATATGCTAGAATCATCTAGTGTTTAGTTATTATATAGTAAGTGAAGTCAGTCTACAGAACACATTTAATATATTGAATTTGTAAATATGCAGAGTATGGTATTTGTGTATGGAATCTGTGCATTATCATATTTTTCCAGCTTTTTGGTGAGTAAAATATTAATATGTTGTTAATGGAAATTAGATGATTGCTTCTGAAGGAAGATAATTATGAAAATAAAACCCAAGATTATATGAATGTTTTTAGTTTTATTTGCTTGTTCATTCTCTTCAAAGATACATTTTCTTAATTACTTACATTATTTTAGTTATCTTTTAGAAGAACAACAGTATTTTATGTCTTTCAATTGGTTTTGCTCTTTAGGAGCCTTGTGGGAGTTACTGTATATTAGTTGAGCCTTTAAAAATACCGGTCATTCATATCCTAGCATATTGCTATAAGGGCTGCTGCCTGGGGAGGTTGAAGACTAATGAATATATCATCCAAGAGAAGAGTTCACCACAGGGTCAGATGAGGCGAATGGGAAGGGTTTTGCAGTTAGACTTAATTAGAATGCAAGTTTCTAATCAAGCTTCACCTACAATTAATGAGACACTTGCTGTACAGTATTGTCCCCAGCTCTGAGTGGAAACTGATAACATAATTTGATATTTCAGTTTAGGATAAGTTGTAGTAAAAAGAAAGAATCCAGAGAGATTCTTGGACTCTGCTTTTGTGTTTCTCAGGATTCAGTGAATCAGTTCAAGTTGCTCATTGGTCACCAAAACATTTGTAGTCCCATGAAGTGGCTGAAAGATAATGGATGGCCCGTTCTTACGTGGTTAGTACCACTAAGCAGCGCAAACTGACTGTGATTTGATGATTTAAAGACATACTGACTTGAAAGGAAAAAAAAAAATGAGGCAAATATTGATTTAAAAAATGGGAAGCAGTCCTTCTCCAAAATGTGTGTGTGTGTTTGTGAATTTGAGTGTGTAACTGGCAGACCTTTCAGACTGAAAGAACTTAGATGAATTCTTATATTCCAGGATGTTAGAATTGGAGAGTTACATATACAGATTTAATTAAATTATAAAGTTTAAGGTTTAAGCCTTTCATATTGTATTCCCAAATATCAGTGGATCTAAGTTGTAGTCTTAAAACTCAAGTTTCAAATCAGTAAACACCTAACTAACCTGTGACATTAACACCTCCACCTCACATGTAGGAAACTTGAGATGCCAGATTTTCAAAACCTGAGTTTAAATTCTCAAGGATAGATCATCAAAATGATTACAAAGTCCATTTCCCGAAACTAGAAAGCAATATTAGCATTGAACTTGACCTGCTTTATCAGCATGAAATACTTATTTTTGTACCTATTTAGGTTAAGTCATTAAATTTAGCCAAATACAAAGAATGCACAGTCTTGTGAGTTTTAGAATGCTGCTGGGCAGACACCAGAGATGAGGGTGTGGTACCTCATGTGGGAGCTGCTGCAGGCTGACTGCACATCCTCATGGGAGCACATGACCTTTGATTATTTGTACTCTGTGTCACACGTCGACAGGGAATACCAAACCCCAGTGGGTCCAGAAAGGAAGCTGATATAATTCCCTTCAGAAATGAGGTTAATTAGAATGAATAGGCCTCAAGGCCGTGGGAGGGAAAACATTAAACAAATAATTCAATAAATGGTAAGCCAAATATGATGGGACCTTAACAGGAAGGAGAAGCTTCCATTTGAAACCTGGAGGGGAGCTTCTTTAGGAGAAAATAAAAGAAAGGGGGAGAAAGAGAATGACTTGAGAGGGAGGGGTGGGAAGGCCAGAGGAGTCTCTTAAGGGAGCAGCCCTGAGAATCCCTCCCCAAGCAGATCCCCCTGAGGAGCCTCTGGATCAATCCCCAGAACCAAGGGAAGATTTGGCTTTTATAAAACCTGTTAGAGATGGCAGGAAGTTTCCTGTCACTTACGTGGTTTAGTTCTACTTAGCATACATAACATGGTGGACTGATGTGCTGTTTAGGGGCTGCTGTTAGACCACAGCATAGACAGCTGCTTAATTCTGTATTGTAGAGCTATTCCAGAAAATACTAGAAATTATTCGAGATCTGCTATTAAAAAAGTTCCATATCAACTATGATTGCTTCCCCTTGGTGAATTTCTTTGTTTCCTGTTGATAGCGTCCATGCAGAGCACCCATGGGACAAAGGAAATTATCAGGAAGTGCTTTCTTACCGTATTTTAATTCTTGGTATGCTATATGGAAAACAACCACTTTCATCTTCCACGAAAAGCACAAACAGATAGACGATGAATACATAAATAGAGCACTCCTCAGGTGACTTTGCAAGATGTGCTTTATTTTAAGTCGGTCCCGAACCCAAAGTACACAGGAGTGGTTTTTGATAGATTCTAGCCCATTCAATGGTTCTTCTCAGAAACTTGATTTTTAATATTGAATGAAAACTATATTTCAATCATAAATTTTCATGCTACATTGCTAATTCATGAAGAGGTTTTGTTTCCAATGATAATAATTTAAGAAAAGGCCATTTTTTTTATTTTCCCCAAGCTCAATATACATATTTCTTTCATAATAATGAACTTAAAAAAACCCGTCTTAGATGTAAAAATGTGAATTGGAATATGTAAACTCTGATATGCCTGAAAAACAGCAAGGAAAACGTCATCCTGGAAAAACCACTGCCTTAAATCACGGAAAAATGGGAGAAAGCATGTGAGGGGGTGGGGGGGAGGCAGAAGAGCCCTGTGGCCTCAGTTACTGGAGTTACAAAGCCGAGGTGTTCTCATCAGGCTGGGCTGACCACTGCTGTCCTTCTGTTTCCGGTGCAACAGGAGCCATCTGAAGCAGAATGGTCACCGCTACCTGGGGGTGGTCACCACCCGACCTCAAAGCAGGAGTCCGCGTAGTTGCTTTGCTGAGTGTTTTTTTCCTGAGAAGTCACTGGTGTTCAATAGAAAGATTTCTTACTAGTCTTCAGTTGAGATAAGGCAGTAGGAGTATCACTAATGTTATCTTTTTGCTTAGAATGAGGCTTGATCATCCACCACCATCTTCTGGGTCACGGTGTCTCCTCTGGAAAACATGGGCAGTGCTGGGGCCTCCTATTGCTGCTGCCCTTCTGGAGTGTGCCGAGGGCTCACGGGGTCTCTGCTCAGCAGTGCCCCCAGTGGTGGGAAGAGCTATGTGTTGCACTTTGACCATGACGTCAGGAAAGGTGAGGTTCCCCAGAGAGTAAGACACAGGTGCCTTCCCCTTCTCTCCGAGGGAAGGGACCATACATGAACCTTTCGCATAACCGGTAAGGATGCAAGACACTGTTGACTGAGAAAACTCTAAAGCAAAGAGCCCTGATTTCAGAGAAATGGGGGTACGAAGAACTTCAACAGTGCCCTCTTGTACAGGATGGCTTTTCGTGATAGGGAAAACCAACTTCTTTCAGCCACCTGCCAGAGAGAAACCCAAACGGTTGCTGCCAGACCAGAAATGCTTAGCTCTTTGGAGAGTGTTGTGCTTTTTCTTAATTAAAAAAAAAAATTCAAATGATAACTCAATTTGCAGTCTGGCTCTTCAGGTTTCAGTTTGTTTTTTCTCTAGTCCATTTGATCATTGTTTCTGGTGATCGGTACAGGAATATCAATTTGGCATAGAGATCTTCTTCCAGCTCCAGTTCCCCTGTCTCCCGGACTAAAAATATGTCTGTGCACAACTTCAAAATTCGATCCACATTTGGAAGCTCTTCAAACATGATAGAGTGAGAGATCCCACTGAAGAATTCACGAACAAATTTCCCAATTACAAGGACAACTGACGCATATAATCCCATGATACTGAAAGAGATAGCAAGGAGAAATAGTCCCCCAACAATTAATATGGCTAGGAACACATGTTTATACTGGGATAAAATGCAGCATATTGGGTAGGAACACAATGGCATTGCATGTACTTTTTTGAAAGTAGCTCTTTTCTCTTTAACAATCATGCTGGATGAAAAGTGTTTTTTTTAAATAAGGTTAATTTTGAAAAATGTAACATGCTGTACTTGCACCTTAATTACGATAAGGGATTATATTGTATTGGATTGTGATATTGAAGCACCAGAAGGTGAAGAAGTAGTCTTAGATCTGTTCAAAACTGTGGTGACTATTGGATCCATTTGCTCAGGGTCAGAAAGCAACCTAAGAGAAACAATGGTAACACTCTACGGAATTGCATGAAACCGTGCCATAATAAGAAGGCACAAAACAAAGGGGTCTTCCAGGGCTGTGTGAGCCACGCTGGGCATTCTGATGTTGTTGGGCCTCTTGTCCCTGTGCTTTGAAATGAAAGGGCATGGTGTTGTGACTTTTAATAGTGTACAGACACAACTCAACTCCTAGGAGGAAAAAATGCTGCTATTCCAACTTCACAACGTTCAGGCGTCATAACTATTAATCCTTACGTTTCCTTACCCATAGCCGGCCAAGAAGCCCAGACTCGGGGGGCTGACTTTGTCATTGAAGATAATCAGCTCCAAGGCTTGGGACCCTTGATTGTATATCCTGTTTCCGGTCAGGTTGAGAACCCACCACTCACTATTGGATTTAGTGACATTGTCTCTGAACAAAATGATGGTGATATTCATGAAATTACTTTCTGGAAGAGGAGGAAAAACAAAATGAAGGCAGCATGAGATCTTGGGATTTGATGCAAATTCGAAGGTCCCAGATGGCCAAACCCAGTCCATACATGTAGTACACAATTCCAGAATGTGAAAGACACGGGGACATGACAGGCAAGCCGAGAGGAAGTGAGCACCCACTCGGCACCACTCCAATGAGAGTTTTGTCACTGCTACACATACATAAAACAGCCAAACCACAGAGAGTGATGGAGGGTCCACCCAATCAGTAGCTGCGCTGATCTTCCAGTGAACCGAGTGCACACAAAATCCTCACCATCAACCTTTAATGCAACCGGTCGGTTCATTTATATTGCCAGCACTTAGCAAGTATCTCACCAGAAGGAAGGCATTTTACCAGGTGTTTGAGGGGTCACAGAATGCCATGTAATAATGTTCCACATATTAATGGGAAAAGACTATGTACACAATTATGGTCATGTGGCAGCTAGCATAAGGCCAGCATCCTCAAGGTCTATTTCCTTGGAGAGAACCACTTCTGACTGATGGAATCTAGAAGAGCTTAAAGAGGAAATGGCATGAGTGCCAAGTTTTGCTGGCTCCAGTATGTG